TATGATTTTATTATAAGAAAATATTGTATAACATTTTATTTTCCTTTTTTAATTGAGTTAATCAAATTGTTTGAATTAACACAAAGTTTAATTAAGTTAATCAACTCGTCAATGATTAAGAGAATGTTTGGATTAGTTGTTTAGATGCAATTGATAATTAATATCTGACAATTGATAAATATTGTTTTTATAATTTAAAATATTTAATTTATTTAATTAGAATCAACAATTGAAAACTGTACATGAAACGTCAAAACAAACACCTCTTACATTGTTTTAATCAACATAGAGTTAAAGAAGTTAGTAATAATTGAATTTTGGTTATAATTAAGGTTTAAATCTCTTGAAAGGCATTTAAGTTAGGGATGGCAACAGGTTCCTACGAGGGCAGGGACCCCCTCTCCATCCCCATCCCCATCCCCATCTCCATCCCCATCCCCACCAATGAGGAGTATGGGGATTCCCACGAGAATTTTTGGTGAAGGATCAAAAATAGCCTTCGTCCCCATACCTGCGGGGAATGATAGATCCTTACAAGTATTCAAAGTCCTCATCAAATAAAACTATTACCTGCTCTACTGCTTGTTAATCAAAATTTTTGCTACTTGTTAATCAAAATTAAGTTTAATATGGGTTTATTTAGACTCCACTAGTTTTCACATTTATTAAATAAAACTAGCTCAAATAATCATACAAAGTAAAAATTTGAAACAAAACAAAAAGTACTTAATATACACAGCTAATATAAACATGTCTAGCAAGTGAGCAACAAGTTCATAAAGAAAAAAAATCATAAACTGTCATATAAGTCTAGCAAAAGGTTCATAAAAAAAGGGGCATAAATTGCAACTATCACATAGGTTTAGATTCAACACAGTTCATAGAAAAAAAATGCATAAACTACTACCATAGATGTCTAGCAATAAGTTCATTAAGAAAATGGGTGTAAAAGAGTCTAGTAAGTGGCAAATGTGTACACATCCATTCAATCTAGTAAGGCAAACTCTGCAGCAACAACTTCAACTAAGCTTGATCGATAATGTCAAGTTCAAAAAATAACTTTTTGAAATGAAAACAAGTATCCCAAGTTAACAAAATTTTAGAAAAAATTCTTTATATCAAATTGAAGAATA